GGCGCAAACACTCGACGGCGGCGCCGCTCGAGGGGCGAGGGCGGGGAACGCGAGGGGCTGGGACCCCCTCTGGAGCCCAACCCAAGCCGAATCTCGCGCGTTCCCCGAAACGTCGACCGCAGCATCCCTGATGTGACTTCACTCGGTCGAATTCTGGCCAACCCCCATATGATCTTTCCACCTTGGCTGACAGGTCGCATCACCCCAACAACAGCGACGATGGCTCATGAAATCGAGTGCTACAGCACCTGGCCAAAGCAAAACGGGGCCCACAGAGGCCGGCATTCAATGGGGTGCCCCGCCAAAGATAAACCTCCCTCTGGCCTGCGAACCGCAGCCCCTGACCCAGACCGAGGAGGAAACGAACTTGCGATCGTCGCTGCCAGCCGCCTTCGCGCTGCCAGGGCGGCGGGCGCGTGTCAGGCCCGCAGGCTGGAAGACGGCCAAGAGGCCTCGCCTCCGCTGCCGCGCTCGCTCGGCGAAGCGAGCGAAGCAAACCGCCTGCTCAAAAGGCCGTCGGCCCCTAACGCGTCTCGATGCCGGGTTCGCTGGCCGCGCCGGCGGCTCCGGCGGAGGAACGGGCATAACAATGAACGAGGAGAAAAAAAGGAGGGGAAGGAGGAGGAGGAGGAGGAGGAGGAGGAGGCGGGGGAGGGGGGGGGGAGGAGGAGGAGGAGGAGGATGAGGAGGAGGAGGAGGAGGAGGAGGAGAAGGAGGAGGCGGAGGAGGAGGAGGAGGAGGAGGAGGAGGAGGAGGAGGACAGGAGGAGGAGGAGGAGGAGGAGGAGGAGGAGGAGGAGGAGGAGGAGGAGGAGGAGGACCGAGGAGAAACGAAGGGGAATCATGGCAAAAAGCGGCGGGCAGACGTCGACATCAGGAGGAGAAGGGAGAGGCACAGGCAGCAGCAGGCAAACGCGCGCGTCGGGGGCGGGCGGGGGGCGGAAGGGGGCAAAGGGAGGCGGTAGTCGAAAGGTCGTCGCGGGTTCGGGGGTCGTCGGTGTCGTCGTCGGCGTCGTCGCGGGCCGTGGGTGGGGAGAGTCGTCGGGGTCGTCGTGGATCCGGGGGTCTGAGGGCTGTCACAGCAGGGCTCGCCGGGCATCAGGCGGGGCGGGCGAAACCGTCGTCGGGGGCGGGGGCGAGGGCGGGGGATGTCGGGGGCAGAGGGGCGGCTGCTCACGAAGCGTCTGCCGCGCTCGCCGCCGTCGCCGCCGCGGCGAGCCGGGCTGCGGGCGCCCTGTCCGGTGCCTGCAGCCGGCGGAGCACGGCCCGCGCATTCTCCTTGTGCAGGGGTAGCGAGAGTCGATGGGACTGCTCTGCCGCCGCGAGGGCGGGGTCCTCACATGTGGCGTCAGCCACACGCTTCGCCAGAACGGCGAGCGCGCGGCGTGCCTTCTTGCCCCAACCTCAGGCGCCGCCGTGCGCCTCCATCACCATGGGGATGAAAGTGACGCCGGACGCGCTGCAGTTGCGCGCGGTGTCGAGGAACTGGCGCTGCTCCTCGTAACGCTCGGCGGCGGCGCCCGGCGCGGCTGCCGAGGCTGCGAAGAGGTCGGCCCGCAGCCCATGGGAGCGAAGAGTACAAACTTTTCTTGCGCGAGATGACACATACCTTACGCGGGCCACCAGCGCGGCACGCTACGCTGGAAGCGAGGGCGCTTACGCGCGACCTTACGCGAGCAGCTTACGCGCCAATGTCGGCGTCGCACATCTGTTGGTCCACTCCGAGGCGGCCACGGGCGGCAACGTGGGTAAACCTCGCCGGACCCACCCAGCGCGCGGGGCGGCCACGAGGCGGGGACGGGCAACCACGAGGCGGCCACGGGCGGCAACGTGGCGAAACATCGTCGGACCCACCAAGCGCTTGAGGCGATCACGACGCGGCCACGAACGGGAACGTGGCAAAAGCTTGCCAGACCCATCCAACGCAAGAGGCGGCCACAGGCTTCAGCGTGGAACATCCTCGCCAGACCCATCAAATTGCTTCTAAGTTTGAGCCCCCGAGTGCTAGCACTGCTTGGGACATTGAATTCGGAACCATATCGTGCTACCACCGACGTCCGCCAGCGGAGCCGCCACTGCTCTGCTCCCGCCTGCGTTCCGCCAGCTTCTGCCGAAGAAGAGAAGTCAACCTCTCGATTTCTCGAAGCTGGGGAAGCACTGGCCCTTTCTGGATCGCCCTGGGGGGCCACGGATGGCCAACCCGACAGCTCAGCGCCACACCTTGCGCAGTGGCGAGGACCGAAATCTAGTCTTTAACCGCAGGAGGCGACGGAAAAGGGGACCCACGGGAGCCTCGCGGGCCACGGCGAGGTGATGCAGGGCACGATGCATTGTCATTATTCTACGCTCCTGTGCAGAGTGCAGCGGTGTGCCAGGACACAGGCTACGTGCACCGCAATCGGGAAGTTATGCCAGGACTTTGGAGAAGCACACACACACACATGGGTGGATTTATATGGAACGCGCCAGATACAAATGCGGAAGCCTGGCGTACCTGGCCATCAAGTGGCGAGCGCTGCCAAGACTTCTGGCCACATGTGTACCCAGTTCTCGCTGAAGCTGCCCCCCGTCGTATGTACCCTGACTCCTGGTATAAAGGGTCCTGCAGAGATCGATGTTTGTGAAATTGATGTCATTGCGTCTGGATGGCGCGCATGAAGACACTAGACGCACGCCCTGGTGCTGCAACACTCGCGCCTCGCGATATTCCAGCAGACAACACGAACTGCCGGACCTATGCGGGCTCATCGGCCCAATGGGCAAAGGCGCGGGAGCGGAAAACTTGCTCTCCGCGACCTGCTGTCCAGCTCCGCACTTGTCGCGCAAGCTGGGCGCTCAGAGAAGGCACCGACAGGATGAACTTGATAACAAAATAATGCCGCCAGAGGGTCGTACTCACGGAACACATTCTTGGCTACATCTATGTACACTGATCTTGGCCAAGTATGACAAACGAAACACATTCCTCTTGGCTACATCTGTTTACGCCGATCCTGGCCAAGCGGATCCTGGGTACAGCATGGACTGGTGGACGACCCATCCAGGAAGGCGTCCATTGATCCTGGGCCCATCGTCGGCCAGGCTGGGCAGGGGGTCGATGTGTAGCTGGCCTCCGCCGAAGGAGGGACTCCCAGGCGGAGACAGAGGAGGAGGAGGAGGAGGAGGAAGAGGAGGAGGAGGAGGAGGAGGAGGGAGGAGGAGGAGGAGGAGAGAAGGAGGAAGAGGAGGAGGAGGAGGAGGAGGAGGAGGAGGAGGAGAAGGACGGGGAGAAGAAGGCGGAGGAGGAGGAGGAGAAGGAGGAGGAGGAGGGGGAGGAGGAGGAGGAGGAGTGAGGGGAGGAGGAGGAGGGGGAGGAGGAGGAGGAGGAGGAGGAGGAGGAAGAGGAGGAGAAGGAGGAGAAGGAGGAGGAGGAGGAGGGGGAGGAGGAGGAGAGGAGGAGGAGGAGGAGGAGGAGGAGGAGGAGGAGAGGAAGAGAGGAGGAGGAGGAGGAGGAAGGAGGATGAGGAGGAGAGGAGGAGGAGGAGGAAGAGGAGGAGGGAGGAGGAGGAGGAGGAGGAGAAGGAGGAGGAGGAGGAGGAGGAGAGGAGGAGGAGGAGGAGGAGGAGGAGGGAGGAGGATGGGAGGAGGGAGGAGGAGGGAGGAGGGGAAGGAGGAGGAGGAGGAGGAGGAGAGGAGGAGGAGGGAGGAGGAGGAGGAGGAGGAGGAGGGGAGGAGGAGGAGGAGGAGGAAGGAGGAGGAGGAAGGAGGAGGAGGAGGAGGAGGAGGAGGAGAGGAGGAGGAGGAGGGGAGGAGAGGAGGAGGAGGAGGAGGAGGGGGAGGGGAGAGGTGAGGAGGAGGAGGAGGGGAGGAGGAGGAGGAGGAGGAGGAGGATGAGGAGGAGGAGGGGGAGGGAGGAGGAGGGGGAGGAGGAGGAGGGAGGAGGAGGAGGAGGAGGAGGAGGAGGAGGGGAAGAGGAGGGAGGAGGAGGGGGAGGAGGAGGAGGAGGAGGAGGAGGAGGAGGAGGAGGAGGAGGAGGAGGAGGAGGAGAAGGAGGAGGAGGAGGAGGAGGAGGACACGCGCGCACACTGGACTGCACTGAGCCAGACCTCCGACGTCGTGTTTTCCGCTCGTGGCGCGGGTGCCCCGAACTCTCAGCCCAATCCCGAGGACGGACGGCTCCCTGACGAGGGCTGCGATTGTCAGCCCTGGGCCGCGAATGTGGCCCCCAGATGCCGAAGGGATGCCTGGCGGTCCAGGGATGCGGGGATGATGATGATGATGATGATGATGATGATGATGATGATGCTGATGATGATGATGATGATGATGATGATGATGATGCTGACGATGGTGATGCTGATACTGCTCATGATGACGATGATGATGATGATGACGATGATCATCCTCATCATCATCAGCATCATCATCATCAGCATCATCATCATCGTCATCACCATCGGCATCATCATCATGACCATCACCATCACCATCACCATCACCAGCATCAGCATCAGCATCGGCATCAGCATCAGCATCAGCATCATCATCAGCATCAGTATCATCATCATCAACATCAACATCATCATCACCATCACCATCATCATCATCATCAGCATCATCATCAGCAGCATCAGCATCAGCATCAGCATCAGCATCAGCATCAGCAGCATCAGCATCATCATCATCACCATCATCATCATATTTGTCATCATTATCATCATCATCATCACCAGCATCAGCATCAGCAGCATCAGCATCAGCATCAACATCAGCATCATCAGCATCAGCATCAGCATCAGCATCAGCATCAGCATCAGCATCAGCATCATCATCATCATCATCATCATCATCATCATCATCATCATCATCATCATCATCATCATCATAATCAGCATCATCATCATCATCATCATCATCATCATCATCATCATCATCATCATCATCATCATCATCATCATTATCAGCTTCACCTTCGTCTCCATCAACAGTGCAGGAGCACGGAACGGACGGATCCCTGATCGTTCACGCCGATGTTGTCACGACGGCAGCGGCCTCAGCCCAAAACGCCTGGGACCCGTTGCTCAGGCCAGGCCGAGTCGAAGGGGTAAAAATGCGCAGAAGGAACCCTGACGAAGGTACTGATACCGCTACCCCCCGCACCTCTCCAGGGGCGCGTTCTGACCAGGATTTCGAGGCGAATCCAGCAGTGGCGACGAGGGCCTCCCAAGAGGCCCAAAGAGGGGAAAGCGGGGCGAAGGGGAGCGGTATGGGTACCTTTTCCTCCTCTGAGCATCCTCAGTGCTGCTCCCAAGTGCACCGAGCACCTGTACACGGACACTCCCCGCGAGGCCCCCACGCTCGCACAGCTCAGACCCCAGAGGGCCCCCCCGGAGCAGCGACGAGAGGAGCGGTGGCCGCTGCCTGGCCCTCGCCAAATACAGCCGAAGGGTGGGCCAAGACCGCCAGGGGCATCGTGCATCGTGGTTCATAAGCCCTCGGGCGAGGAGGAGGAAAAGGAGAAAGAGCAGGGGGAGAGGGGGAAGGAGGAGGAAGAGGTTTTAGGACCAGTCCTGTTCACCCCCGAGTGAAAAGGGGGGCGATCAAAACTAAAGACCCCCTAAATTAATGGGGGGCGATCCATTGGGGGGGAGAGAAAAGTAAACTTTTCGGGCCTCAAACGGCCCCTGTTCTGCACACCTCGCTGCCCCGCCACTTCTCGACCCCCATTACGCGACGCCCAAAGCTCGGTCAAGATGAGGACGGCGAGGCGAGGGCGACGGGCCTGGGAAAACCAAACGATGTCAATATCACTACTCCCCGGACCTCTCCCAGGGTGCGTACTGACGAGAACTGAAGGGAGAACCCAGCCGTGGCGACGAGGGCCTCCAAGGAGGCTCCTCAAAAGCTCCAAACGAGGGAGGCGTAGGTAGGGGCCCTGTAGGGGCATCGGTACGTCCTCCTCCGAGGGAGGACGGTCCGGCGAAGGCTGGGAGACCGAAAGGGACCAGAGGGAGCGGAGGAGGAGGAGGCGGCATCGGTACCCTCTCCTCCTCCGAGGGAGGGCGGCGAATCGAAGGCTGGGAGCGGAGGAGGAGACGGTATCGGTCCCCTCTCCTCCTCGGAGGACGGTCCGCTGGCAGCGGAGGAGGGCGGACGGACGGACTCCGGAGCGCTCGGATCGCCTCCTCTCAAGGCTCTAAGGCTCCCCTGCGCTGCCGGTGGCTGGCCCCGCCTTTGCGGGCCGAGCCTCCGTCTTACTGGGACGGGGGGCGGTGGCGAGCGCCACGCCGTGCAGGTCCGCGCGGTCCTCGCGGCGAGCCGGAGGATCGGCGGCTGCGAGAGATGCCCCATTCGGGGGCAAGCGAGGGGGGGAGGCGAGAAGGAGCAGGCCCCCTCAGGCAGGAGCAAGGAAAGGCGACACCAACACCACCAGGGCGAGGAGATGCGAGGAGCAACGGGGGTCTCCCTGGTGGTGTGGTCCACCCCTTTCTCGCTCGAGACATTCCCAGCCCCCAGCTCGGGGAGGCATCATGGACCTACTCGCTGGAGGTGGCCCCCCTGTTGGTGTTGGTGTCGCTTTCCATCCCTCCGATCAGAAGGCGCCCGGTCGTCGCAGAAGCCCTCCGGCCTCCTGCGAGGTCTTCGGTGTCTTCGGGCAAGGCTCAGGAAACTCTTCAGAAGGCCGGGAGAAGGCCGGGGGACCTCCGAGCCTCCTGAGAAGGGCCCGCCACCTCTCGCTTCCCCCCAAGGCTGGCCGCTGACCCACGGCCCAAGGTGCCCCCAGCTTTAAGTTGTCCCCATCCTACTTAAGGGCCACATCCCAGGAATAATTTCGAGCACCCGGAAGAGTGTCAAAAGAGTGTCGAAAGAGTGTCGAAACAGTGTCGAGCGAGTGTCTCCCAGGGCCCGACACGTGAAAACCCTTGAGTTTCGGCACTTTTTTTGGCGCTCGAAATTACTCCTGGTGCTCAAGGCTAAAGTAGGTTGGAGCATCATAACCCCCGCTTCCCGCTCATCTCTGGAGCCCCCAGGGCTCTCCGGGCCTCGCGATGGGGTGCCTCCGCAGGCCGTGCGGGCCCGCCTGGAGATCCTGGGGGCGCCTCGGGCCAGGGGCACTCCTGGCAGCACCCGCGGGGGGGTGGGGGCGAGGGGGTTGGCCGTCTGGGAATAGGGGAACAACAAATGGCATAAACATAAAAACTCGGAGGTCCGCGCGGATTTCTCGGATCCGCGCTGGACCCCCCTCCCTGGCGCGCGGAGCGCGCCAGGGGCGGCGCCGAAGGCGCCGCCAGGGGGGTCCAGCGCGGATCCGAGAAATCCGCGCGGACCTCCGAGTGTTTATGTTTATGCCACTTTTTGTTCCCCTAGGGAAGGCAAGGGGGCCAGAAGGGATCGGAAGCTCCTGCGAAGGCTGCTCAGGACGGCAGGAGGGCTGCGGAGCAGCCGCCTGCCTGCGCCTGCGGGGAAGGCCGCCCCCGTCGCATTGCTGCCGCAGAGATCCGCACGAGGGCATATGCCTCGAGGAGGCTCCGCGGCAAAATCTTGTGAATTACGCGTGTGGACGCCTGAAACGGGTACGGAAAAAGTGGGTACAATGCCCAGTCACAAATGTTGTCCCAAACCAACAGCGGACGCTGTTGCGCAGGCAGCCTTCTGTCTCAAAGGGACACGGGCTGCGGCGACACCGACAGCGAGTCCCGTTCAAAGTGAACATGAACTGCTGCCGGTCTTTGTGCCCATTCTTTCCGTACCCACTTCGATCGTCTCGAACGCGGAGGGCACCAGCGCGCATTGTGGCGCCGGCCGCTGCAGGCAGCACGGTCGACTTCCTGGCGCAACGGGCCAGGCAAAAAGTTGGTAGAGTTAGGTCGGGCCTGTCTCCCTACAGGTGGATTTTTCGCGAAAAATAGAAAACTCGAAGAATACGGCCAAAATGTTTTAAAATAATCAAACATCGACCCCAGACTATCTTTTAAACTATCTTTAAATCGTCCTCCTGTAGAGGGACAGGCCCGACTTGATGGTAGAGGTCAGTGCCCTCTGCTGGCGGACAGCCGGGGCTCCTCACGCCCTGGCCCTCTGGCGCGAGGAGGGAGAAGCTCCGTCCGGCGACGCCGGGGGCTTCTCTCTGGGAGGAGAGGCGTCCTCGCAAGACTCCACGCGCCTCAGATCACTTCGCGGCACGTCGGACTCGGCCACAAACGCACTCTGCAGGGGGTCGAAGAACCGCAGGTCGATGCCGGTTTTGCTTCTGCCCTTTACCGCGGCGATCTTCGGTGTTTTGCCCCCCAGCCCCAGGACCACGAAGGCGCCCTCGGCTAGCGGCGCCGGCGGGGGTTCGGAGTCACCCTCGCCATCGTTGAGGCGAGCGTCCCACTCCTCGACGCCCTCGCCAGCGCCCTTGCCGGTGTCGAAGCCCCCAAGCCACCGGTTGAGCAGGGGCCGCAGCATCCGGGCCCCGGGCGTGTGCATGACCTGCTGAGGCATGTTCAGAATCTCGTCGGGGATGCCATTCCCAGTGAGGAAGCGGACCACGTCCTCGCAAAAACAATTGCAATTGTTCGTGAGCACGTCGTAGTTGTCGGTGGTGTACTTTGTCAGCAGGTCCCTGGTCAGGAACCTGGAGAACTCCGCCTGCGTCACGAAGGTGTAGCCCAGGTGCACCGTCTTCAGATTCTCGTGATACGAGGAGGGCTCCAGCGGCACTGCGGACTCGTTTAGGGGCGGGTCGAAGCATTTGCAGGGTGGCTCGTTCATGAAGAGCTTTCCGCCGTACCAGAACTCACTGCCGTACACGAGGACACTGCTGTGGTAGATGGCCTCGAAGTGGCGCCCGAGCACAATGGGGCTGACGTACTTCGATGCGCCCTTGGAGACGTCGTACACGAGAAGTTCCACAGCTGTCTTGCGGCGCCCCATGGAGTACGCAATCAACTCCCAGAGGTCCAGCCGCCCGTCGCAGTCAACGTCTGCCGCCTCCAACATCTCTGCAAACTTCATCTCAGCAAAGCCGCCGTCTTCCTCGAAATCCTCGACCGACAAGTAACCATCACAATTGGTGTCCCAGTCGCGAAACCGCTCCACAAGCTGAGACAGCAGCTGCGGGGCCCTCTGCAGCACTTTGCTAAGCCTGGCGTGCATGTCCTTCAGAGGGCCTCGGGGCTCCGTGGCCCCCATCATGAAGGCCGCGAACTCCGCGTACGACACTGTACCGCTCATGTCCACGTCGAGGATTCTGTGGTACACCTGCGCGCTGGTCTCCACCAGCCGCGCATCCTCTGGCCCCAGCGGACCGCCCAGCTTCCGCTCCGCGAAGCGCTTCCAGAGGGCCGCGAGCCCGTCCACGTCGAGGAGGACGTGGAGGCCCCCGATCTCCTCGAAGTCGTCCTCCGACGGACAGAGAAGCACACATGCAAACCACAAACACACAGCCTTGCGAGGGCTGGACCGCCCTCCCCGCACCCCTGGCGGCGCCCCTGGCGGCGCCTCTGGCGGCGCCTCTGGCGGCGCCTCTGGCCACGCCTCTGGCCGCGCCTACGGCGCGCTCCAGGCGCTGGGAGACGGGTGAAGGGGGGGGTGGCCCAGCGCCGACCCAAGAAATCCGCTCGGAACTCCGACAGCTTCTGCCCGTGCACTTTTTGGTTGCTCGATCCTCGAGGTCGTGCAGCGAGGGCCTCCCGGACGCACGCCGGAAGGGGCCCCCAGGCGCAAGAGAGTGACCTCCGGTGCGCGGCTTGCCGATCCCTGCCTGCGGTGCGACACCATCGGCCTGCGTGCTTGGGCTTGGCGGCTTGGCCCCCCTGCGAGGCGGACGTCTGTCTGCACTCCGGGGTCCTTCCTCCTTCCCCAGGGCACCTGGCCTGGCGGCCGCCCTGGCGGCTATTTCGCCGCCGTCGCCGCCCTGTCGCCGCCTCGTCGCCGCCCGCCGCCTGGCCCTGACGGCCGGTTCCGGCGGCTGTGTCGCCGCCGTCGCCGCCCTGTCGCCGCCTGCCGCCTGGGCCTGACCGGCCGGTCTGGCGGCTACGTCGCCGCCGTCGCCGCCCCCGAAGGCCGCGCACCTATAAGAGGCCTCTCCAGCGAAGGGCCCCCTCCTCCGTGCAGCCAGGCCTCGGCTTGTCCCCGTTCTCGGAGCGGCCGCCCCCCAGCAGCGTCGGCAACCGAGCCGTGGGCCGGCGCCGCGGGGGCTCCTCGTCGGCCGCGTCGGGCGCGTCGACCACCTCCGGGGGCTTGCAGCAGGCCTCCAGGGCCAGCCCAGAGCCCATCGCGCGGCTTGCGCGCGCCCTTTGGGAGCGGGGGTAGTCGACGCCAGGCCGATCGCGCCGCCTCGAGCCACCGTCTGCGGTCCCCAGCCAGCCTGTTCTCTCCCAAACTGAAGAGGAGCGTCAGGGGGGGACCGCCTCAGGGGGGAAAACATCCAGCTGGAATCGGCGACACATCACCGATGCGTCGGCGATAGGCCCTCGATAGCGTGCCCGCACGGTCCTCAGCGGGAAGCACAATCGGGCTCTTGGGGGTCGATGACTCCCCCTTGAGCCCATGCCCCCCAGAACTTTGACGCTGACCAGCGAGGTGCGCCGGCATCGCCCCGCGCGGAGGCGGGGTCCGCAGGCAGGCGAGAGGCATGCGAGGGCAGGCCGCCTGGTGAGCGGTCGGCCCACCGTTTTGCGCGGCGGCCTGCCGAGGCGAGTCCTCACCCAGGAGGCCGGCACAATCCACGGGTCCCGGTGCCGCTGCGAGAAGAAGCAACACCGGGCAAGCCTCACGTGCCTCCTCCACTGGGGGCGCGATGTTTGTCCACGGCCTCCACAAGCCGGCTGGTCCAGCACAAGACCGCGGAGCGGGGGTTGTGTGCAAAAAATTCATCCCCTGGTTATGTTGCATCGTCGGGGGACCTTGATACACGTCGAATCCGTGTCGAATCCGTGTCGAACGAGTCGAATCCGTGTCGAATCCGAATGGAATCCGTGTCGAATCCACGTTGAGTCCGCGCCGAACCCACTTCGGAGTACAAGAAAACAGACTGCCACTTACAGGACAGGAAAGGTCCCCCGAAGATGCAAAGTAGCCCCGGGGGCACGACGTTTGCACACCACCCCCGCAAACAAGCTGGCCAGCACAAGGTACGCCAGAAGGAGCGGTAGCCACACATCGGCCCCCGATCCACAAACGGGTTGCACCTCCTGCGGTCTCCCCAGAGGCTCAGCCTCTGACCCACTCCCACTCCGACGTCGCGGGCTTCCCGAGACACGGGCCTTCAAGCTCCCAGCCCCATCCCCAAGACTGGCTTCTCGCCGCGGGCCGCTCTTGAGAGCCCTGGGGCTCTCAAGGGCCCTGGGCGCCGAAACCGAGAATAAAATCCTCCTCTTCTCGTCCCCATCCTACCGCTGCTGTTCCCTACTGCTCCTCCGGCTGCTGCTACTCCTCTCCTCCTCCTCCTCCTCCTCCTCATCATCATCATCATCATCATCCTCATCCTCCATCATCATCATCATCATCATCATCATCATCATCATCATCATCATCATCATCATCATCATCATCATCATCATCATCATCATCATCATCATCATCATCATCATCATCATCATCATCATCATCAGCATCAGCATCAGCATCAGCATCATCATCATCATCATCATCATCATCAGCAGCAGCAGCAGCAGCATCAGCATCATCAGCATCATGATCATCATCATCATCATCATCATCATCATCATCATCATCATCATCATCATCATCAGCATCAGCATCAGCATCATCATCAGCATCATCATCATCAGCAGCATCATCATCAGCATCATCAGCATCAGCATCATCATCAACATCAGCATCAGCATCATCATCATCCGACCGCTGCTGTTCCCTCCTCCTTTTCCTCCACCTCCTCCTCCTCCTCGTCCTCCTCTCCTCCTCCTCCTCCTCCTCCTCCTCCTCCTCCTCCTTCCGCTTCCTGCGCCTCGTCACAAGATTCTGGAGCCGCGCTCTCGAGGCGTCGACGCGGGGGCGCGCCTGGGTCGCCACGCGCCCGCAGCGTGTGGGGCAGACTCGCTACCGGGCGCGTGAACGGGTGAGATAAAGAGGACGCCCCCGCACGAGGCGCGCCCCGCCATGCCTGGACAACGCAGGCCGCGCAGTGGCGCCTGCGCGCTCGGACCGCCGAACCGCCGATCGTCTGTGACAGAGCACGGGCTGGCACGCACGAAGACCTGCCGCAAGGCTCGCCAGCGGCAACGGGGGAGGCAGAGTCGAGGCGAGGGACGGAGAAGGGGGCGGACAGCAGGACGCCAACTAAGCACCAAAACCGACACTGGCCAGGCCCATCCTGGGCCCAGGATCGGTCTGGCCTTGATCGGTGTTGCTGTAGTGTCTCCCGAAGGGGAAGAAGGACGGAGGAGGACAATGTGTGTATGTTTAGGTCCAGCACTGACGGGAGCATAGAGACGATGAATATGCTGCAGGAGGTAGGGAACAGGAGGAGGATCCGATAACATGACACGTGGGGGCCCTGAAGCCATCCTCGCGACTCGATTTTCTGCTCAGACGCAGAGTTACGACATGCAGTCAGCATAATCGGGGGGGCAGCTGTAGTATAGAAGAAAAACAAACTGCATATACATAAACTGTTGGCGCCCCGCGCGGAATTCTTGGATCTGCGCTGAGCCCCCCTCCCTGGCGCGCGGGGCGCGCCAGGGGCGGCGCCGGAGACGCCGCCAAGGGGGCCCAGCGCGGATCCAAGAAATTTGCTCGGAGCGCCACAAGTTTATGCTTATGCCATTTTCTTCTTCGAAGTCAGCGTAATCGGGGGGGGGCAGGAGGAGTAGGACGACGAGGAGCCAAGAGCCAAGAGCAGCAGGAGCAGGACGAGAAGGATGGGGCAGGAGCCGTGCGAAGCGGCTCCGCCTGGGAGAGCCGCCCGCTGCGACGGGCTTTTGCAAAGCCGCGCCGTGCCACGCCGCCTACTCGGGGCGGCGCCCCCCCCTGACTGCCTACGAGACCACCCCAACCCGACCCGAACACCAGAATTTCGGGTTGGGGGGGGGTACAGGCTTCATATGTGTTTCTGGTTCAATGTTCCCCGACCCCCCCTCCCCACTGGAAAGGGAGGGCAAATCGGGGCCTTTGTTGGGTTGGCTTGGGGTGGTTTGATGGGCGGTACCCCCCCCCGCCGCCCCCGCCCCTGGAGGAACAACAAACTGCTGAAACATCGACTGTTGGAGGTCCGCGCGGGTTTCTCGGATCGGCGTTGGACCCCCCTCCCTGGCGCGCAGCGGCGCTGGAAGCGCCGCCGGGGGGCCCTGCGCGGGTTTCTCGGATCGGCGCTGGACCTCCCTCCCTGGCGCGCGAAACGCGCTAGCAGCGGCGCTGGAGGCGCCGCCAGGGGGCCCCGGCGCAGATGCAAGAAACCCGCGCGGAGCTCCAAGAGCTCATGTCTATGCCATGTCTGATTCTTCGAGCCCCCGGCCTCGCCCAAAACGGGACGGACTACAACCGAATTGGGACTCCGGCCAGTCGGGTAACAATTCCAACCAACCTGGTGCCAATTCCAACCGCTCTGAAAGCTCCTCATATGAGGTTCCTTCGACTAGGGCAACTATCTTCGCGCTTTCGCGCCGTCCCCACCCGGAACAGGAGGAGGGCCGCGCGCCTCGTTCTGAAACCGCCCAGAGACCGCGAAGCGCGAGGCGCGACCAACCAGGCACCCTCGTGGTGGCCCCAGTTCGACATCCCTTAGAGAGGCCCGTATCATAAGGACGCACGATAAGGATGCACGGGCCTTGGAAGGCCATCTCGAAGCTCTTCGAGCGGGGCGCGGCCAGCGAAGGTGGCCAAGGATGGAGCGAGGAGGCAAAGGATGCAAGAGTACCCTTGCGAAGGTTCCCAAACCTCACTGTTCGGGCTGACTGTAGAGAGGCCCCCCCCCCCCGCGCAGGCGCGGCGCCATCGGGTACGTGTCCAGGCTCCTCCACTGCTCGGTGTAGCTGACGGGCGCGCGGGCGCGGGCGGCGGCGCCCCCTCCCCCTGGCGGCGGCGGGCGCGGCTGCTCGGTGCTCCTGCCCCGCGGAGGCGGGCGTCGTCGATCACGCTTCGCGCCGCGCGCCGCGCGGCGGAGCCGCCCACCGCGCCGAGGCGGCGGCGGCGGGGGGCGGAGGACGATCCCAGACGACTGTGCGAGGCGGGGGGTGCTTCCAGAACCACCGCCCAGGGAGCCGACGTCCTGGGACACCAGGGGGGCGGGGGATCTAGGTGTACGTTGGCCCCACTTGGCGCGAATCTGTCCAGATCCACCGCGTGCCGGGGTCTCCGAAGATCGATCCCCCAGGCGGTGGTTATGGATAGAGCCCCGCCTCGGAGTCTGGGCGCCTACAGTAGGAAGGCCTAGATGCCACCTGCTTCCGCAGAAGAAGACTTGCCAACCACCAGCCGATCGATCCCTGGAAGGCGAGCCCCTCACCCGGAACGCCCCGCAGGTCCTGCAGCGCCCTCGCCTGCGCCGCACCGCTGCGTGTCGCTGCACCAGGCGCCACGAGCAGCACGGCGGGCTGCGCACCCTCGCGGAGCCCCGCACGGGAGTTTTCGGCGGCGTCGGCTCGGGCCGCCGCACCAACGACCAAAGTCGGGGCGGTGAAGCGGAGTGGCAGCAGGCGAGCGTGGAGGAGTGAGGCGGGCGCTCGCGCAGCAGCGGGACGTGGGCGCCGCGACAGCTCCTGCCGCTGCTGATGCTGCTTGCTCGTGGTGCGCATCCCCCTCCTTCTTCTCCTTCCTCCTGCCCCTGCCCCTGGCAGGCTGCTCTTCCCACCACCTCCTGCATCCTGCACGTGCTGCTGCCGCTGCCGCCGCCGTCGCCGCTGCGGAGAGGCAACGCCGCACGGCTGCCCACGCGATCGACAGGGACGGCTCCCTTGGTGCCGTCGGCCGGCGGCCCCAGCGGCGCGCGAGGGAAGGAGCTGGCGGCCACCCGGGCCACCTCCTCTCGCGCGCCTCGCCCCGCGCCCTCCTTCCCGCCGCCCCCGTGGGCGGCCCTCCGGCCCGGGCCGCGAAGCCGAACCTCTGCGTGCTCCTGCCAGCAGCGCCGCACGGGCGCGCGCGAGGCACCGGCGCCGAGGGAGGCGCGCGAGGGCGACTCTCCCCGGGGCGGCCGGGCGGGCGGGCGGACTCCTCAGTGGAGGCGCGGGCCGCGGAGGGCGGCGGAGTCGGGCGGCGCTCGCTGGGCCGCTGAGGCAGGGGCGAGGCAGGAGGAGCAGAGCGCCGGCCGCAGGGAGGCGCCAGGACGGGGGAGCGAGTTTTTTGGGGGGCGTCTGGGCTTGCGTCCGCGCCGTGCGGGCCCAGCTTTCAGCGTGCGACTGGTTGCACCACGTGTCCCCCCGAGCATCGTACTGGCAACTTCGGTGTTGTGCTCCCGCGTGGGGGTCATGCGAAGAGCATGATGCAAGCAAAGATAAGTAATACTGCCCCAGGTGTTAGTGATGTTTTTTTCTTGAGGCGCGTGACAACTCGATTCGGATGCCCTGCGAACCTGCTTGGTCCAGCAAGACTCTCCCTCGAGCATGGCTTCTGTGTAGGATCAAGCGACGGCCCTCCTCCTCCTCCTCCTCCTTCTCCTATTCCTCTTCCTCCCTTCCCGTCCTCCGTCTCCCACTACTACTACGACTGGTGCTGCTGCTCCTCTTCCACGTTTCACCGCATCCGTCCACGAGTGCATTCTGGAAAGAATTTCGAAGGGGATGCGGCCGCTGCGACGAGAGCCCCCCCTGGAGGCCTCCAAAAGGACGGCACGATGTGCAAAAAACTCGCTCGCTCATCGAACCTCGACCTTCCGCAGATCTTTATGATTCTTCTCCTTATTATCATCATCGTCCTCCTCCTCGTTATTACTTTTTCCCTCCTCCTCCTAATCCAGAGCACCCGGCCGAGACCCCACCAGCTGGCACCAACCTCGATCCATGGACCTATCGGCCGCCTCGCGATGCTGCTGGTCCTCCTCCTCCTCTTCCTCCTCTCCCTCCTCCTCCTCCTACTCTTCCTCCTCTCCCATCTTACCCTTTACAATTGCACAATATGAATACTACTCTCCTCTCTCCCCTGACTCTGCCTGGAGAGTGTCCCGACCTCTCCGCGTGTTGTGTTTTCCACAAAGGATTTCATTGTTTGGTTATTCCGGTGTTTTTTCGTATGGTCGCTTCCAGTTCGTCCAAAATGGTGCTCCTGCTGCAGCGCCGCCCTCATTTCGGCGCTTCGGTCATTCAAAATCATGCTGCTGGACTCGTTCCCGTTTTAGCGATTCTGCCTGTTCAGCCAAAGCTGTGACTCGCGCCTTCGATGACCGAACTGAACCTGAGGAAGACTTGGCGCCTCCTTCTGGCCTGCACTACAATACCCCTACCGGATGGCACTTGGCATTCGAAAGTGCCCACATCGGGCAAGCACGGTTGCGGAAGAAATGGAGCTGGCATTCCGGACAAGCCGTCCTCTCGCAGACGGGCAACTTACCCTCCAAGTCATCTGGTGCCATGCACGGGCATGCAATGCGATGTTGTGTTGTGCACCGCTGTGCGATGCCATTTTTCGCGTTGCTATGCTTTGTGATGCAATGCTTCACTACGCAATGCCACACCATGCTATGACATGCTATGCTTTGCCGAGCTCTTCTACGCCACGCTTTTCCATCCATCGCGTACCCTCTTGGGATCTTTACACTGCTCGACATCCGACTGCGCGAACAGATAGGAGATCTACGCCATGATAAGGGATGGGAGGAAGGGGTAGGACGTCAGATGTGACGCTAGCGCACCTAGCTTGGCTTCTCCCTCTCTGCCTCCTCCGCACACATCTGTCTTCTCCCCCCCCTTCCCGACACCCACATCTTATCCTTCCTCCCCCTCCTGCTCCTGCCCCTCCTTGGGGGCTCGACCCCCACGGGCAGAAAGGGTGAGCGGGGCGGTCGGCGCATGTCGTTCTGGCAGTTGTCCAGAGTGCTCGCAACGCTGCGGATGCGGGACACGATGGACTTCGGCGCCTGCCACGGGGGGGACTTCACCTCCTCCTCCTCTTCCTCCCGTTCTTCTCCTCCGCCTCCGCCTCCGCCTCCTCCTCCTCATCATCATCATCAGCATCAGCATCAGCATCAGCATCAGCATCAGCATCATCATCATCATCATCATCATCATCATCATCATCATCACCATCACCATCACCATCACCATCACCAGCATCATCATCAGCATCATCATCATCAGCAGCATCATCATCAGCATCGTCATCAGCATCGTCATCAGCATCAGTGTGATCATCATCATCAGCAGCAGCATCTTCAGGATTAGCATCATCATCAGCACCACCACCATCAGCAACATAATCATCATCATAAACGTCATCATCATCATTATCATCTGCAGTCACATCATCACCGTAATCATAAGCATCATCTCCATCAGCATCATCATCATCAGCAGCATCGCCGTCATCATCATCAACACCGTCGTCACGTCTTCACCGTCATTATCAGAGGCACCAACGTCAGCATC